TTTCAACTTTGCAATTCAGTTTATATAATTCTTAAAAATATTAGACAATGTTACAATATTTATAATAATCTATCTGAAAACATTCAATATTCCTCGAACATTTCGTTACGGTACGGAAAGTTCCAGCAATTTGCCTTAAGGCACGATGCCATACACCCCACTAGTTTAAATTATTTTCATTGAGAGTTCATAACCGCTAGACCTTTGCAAAAATTGAATCAGTTTTTCAGCTTGTCAATACAAGTAAAATGTTTTTTGAATTATAATATTAAAATCGGACGCTCCATTCTCTCCTCACTTTAGAACGGCTGGACCTGTCTTCGCCAAAAACTAATCAGCACGTCTCCTTATCAATACGAATTGAATGTTTTTTGAATTATTCAAATCGGTTAATATGTGTTTCCAAAATTGTCGACAAATTTTGTATCCGCACACATACACACACGCACATACATTTTTTCTAAAATGTTCGGAAACCTTTAAAACGTAAAGATATATAAATATTTTCATTTTCGATTATCTTACTATAACTTACCCTACGGGAAGTTAATAAAAAAACAATGAGATTAAAAAATGGTTTATTTTATAAAATAGATTCAAGAGGTGTCGCATAGATACTTTTTATAAAATAAAAACCATTGGGACGATAACCGTCTTTTTAGTTCAAATTAATATTTGCTTATAAAAATGCACAAATCATCTCCTCCAACTTTATACTTTAATTTATAGTATCAAAAATGATCCAAGTACATTATAATTAGGTACACATGAATGGGTACGAAAGAATTGATTAGAAAGGCTTAAAATACAATATTTGTGACGAATTGAGTGAAATATTTAATTATTTATTATTAAAGTAAAAATAGCTCTTTGCCGCAATTGCTGCACTCAATAAAAAAGTCAATATTAAAATTCTTTTTATTGTTTCAACAGCAATCAGAACTCTTACATTGCATGTTCTAAAGCTGTTTGTTAAAGACTCATGACCAAACGCATTTTTATGAGAGGCAACCCATCGGTTTACCATTCTCCTATGTGTGGGGTTTATATTAGCTCTCCGTCTAACAGTTATCAATACTAGAATTTTTAATAATAAAAATATATTAAACATAGTGATATCGGAAAATCGATGAGTTATCATCTATAAAGCCACGTCATTCGATAGTCATCACATTAGCTGATAGGAATTGTTATGTTCTGATTGTTATTAATAAATAAACAAATGATTATTAGTTTATAGTGATGAATTTTTCTGATTAATTTTTATTTTAATTACAATCTGTCATACTTAGGACATTCAGTAATTGTTATGACTTTTCTTATTATATGAATCTTGAATGGATGGCAACCCAGTACTTGTCCAGTCTAGTTATGACTAATTATCTATACTCGAAGTATTTGCTGACATTTTTATTATATATATGCAACTATACCCACGAGAGGCGATTTTCACTTGAGGCTATATTTGAGATCTAACCTCAAGTGAAAATTTGACATCAAAGTTGCCTGATGACAGACTTGGCATAGCCATGAAAGAAAACCAATAATTGTTTCAAAACTTTCAAATATTTCTTCTTTATATTTTTCAAATTGTTTTAACTCGTGTGTGATAATTACACATTTATCATTGTTGTTTATTGAATAATGCATTTATATAACATTTATTTAAAAATCGAAAATCTGCAGCAATTTGCCTTAAGGCACAATGCCGTACATCACAAGTTATCATTTTACTTTATTAAATTAATTGCCTTTTCCATTTGATTTCTTCTATCCGTTTAAATCTGAAATTTCATGAGAGATTCCAACAGGCGAGTGTTTCTTTCGAAAGATCTATCCGCGACGATTGCCAGCGAGCGATCTTCGCGTCCACGTCAGGTGAGTTCGTGGCACGCAGGTACAAAGTCATACATCCAACAGCGCGATCTCTCCCACCAGATCACCTCAACAAACTCGGAGAAGAGAACAACACAATAATAAGAGAGTTGGTTATCTATTATTTCATACAATCATAAAATGTCAGATTAAAAAAAATAATAATAAGCATACACACATTTATATGTATATACATTTTGCGATGTGTAGTTAGCATATTATTCAAGTACGTCAACGTCTGTAGAATATTGTTTTTTTTTTTAAATTTAATCTCATTTTTGCAGTCAAAGCATAGGGATGTTTTTTTTACAATTATAATTATAATCTGTCGCACGTTAAGACATTCAGTAATTTTGACTTTGACCCAGTAGTTGTCCACTCCAGTTATGACTAAATATCTATACTCGAAGTAATTGCTGACATTTTTATTATATATGCAACTATACCCACGAGTGGCGATTTTCACTTGAGGCTATATTTGAGATCTATAATCTCAAGCGGAAATTTGGCATCAAACCCGAACCCGGGACTAGTTGGTGCTAGCCCGCGTTCTAACCGATATCGCCACCGCTGGCCCGCATAGGGATGTAACATACTGTTGTAGATCTTCAGCATTAAGTTTTATGAGCGGAGTTAAAAGTTTTGGTTCTGAAGTCAGGCATTATAATTACTTGGTGAAGGTTTTAATAAATATCTTTTTTAATTTTTTTTTTTGAACAGCGATTAGAACTCAAAGGTTCTATAAGCCGTTGTGATGAATTCCCTAGGCAACCCAAACAGTTGTTCCATCTTTATGTGATCAATTGGATTATTACAATTTCTGTATTTGTGATTAATGATTATTATTGCAGCAATGCCGGGTGAAGGCTTTTTCACTTGCAAACGTATTTCTATCTATACTTCCAAGTGAAAACCGATGTCACTACTGCTTGACATCGGGCTACTCGAAGCAGGATTGAACCAGAGGTTTCTGATTCAGGTAACAAATAATAGCAATTTTTAAAATTACTTTCACATTACTTCATTTTTTTTGTAAATTTTGAGATGTTCTGAAGATTTCAAGAAGTTAGAAGGGTTAGTAAGATTTTCTGTATTAATATTTGTTACTTGAAACCTGCCATAAGGAAGCATCTAAAGTGAATCTTGTTCAAAATATAGTTTGTCTTTCAAAAACAAATCCTATTATTTTACATAGCTTCTCTTGAAATTGTAGTGATAAATAAACAAATAAATTAATAATTAATCTTTTAAATTTAGAAACTACATTTCTATAATTCTTTATATTCACTTTAATAACTTAAGAAATTTCATATCAAAACTAACATATTTTACATTGCAAAAAATAATAATTGCGCGAAATATTTTGAGTTATTGCGTTATTGATTATACTTCATCAATCAATAATTTTAATATTGATGTTTTTTTTAGTTAAATTGAGATTTTAAGAAGCTAAATGATAGACGTATGCGTATGGATATGAGTTTAATGTTGTAGGAGTTTTTTGAAAGATTAAATCCGATATAGATAACTTTTAACCCGAAAATCATTTTAACTTACGGTCTATTCATCTATCAGAGTATATTGAGCCTATTCTCGGATAAATAAAAATGTTATGGTAATACTATGTTCCGGGTCTATCTTTGTATGAGGTGGTAACAACCGACTATCAAAGAATTATTTGCTGTGCGATCTGGCGTTTTACACATATGTCATCAAATTTACATCAGAAAGTTGCATTTGCAATATTTGACGTTTGTACGTTTTGTTGGTTAGGTTTTATGTGTAAAACGCCTGATAGCATAGTAAAAACATAGTTTTTTGACAGTTTGTTACTACCAACACATACAAATATGACACGTAACATAGCATTACCATAACATTTGTATTTTATCTGAGATTTGGCCCTTATGTGCATATATTTCTTTCTGGCTTGCTATTGCTGACAGTATTGTTTCAATATAACCGCAATTTACAAACTATTCGTAACTAAAATTTGCAAATTTAACTTAGTCGGGTATTTAATTTTAATAATTATCAAATGACAAGTATTCGTATATAGCGATCTAAAATTAAATTATTGTTACGAAGTTTCAGCGTGCATAAACAATGACGATAATTATAATATATAATTTAAAATCAGCTATGTTCTTCATTTCGAAACATTTATAATGTAATTAATAATACATAATTCTATACTAAGGGTCCGATTCTGCCGTAAATTACCAACGTAATAAGAAGGTTATGTTGCGTTCCAGTTTTCATACAAAATCGTACTAAATACTGTGAAAGGCCATGTGGTGCTGTGCAGTCAGAAATAATGTTATTTTAACTAGATCTTTGCGATATGGCTTGATAACATATAAGTGAAGTTGCATTTTATGTGTCTAACACCTGATCGCACAGCAAATACATGGCACTTTGGCAGTATTTAGTAGCATTTTGTATGAAAACTGGAAAGCAACATAGCCTTGCCATAACATTGGTCTATTTTACGGCAGAATCGACCCATAATTCTTGATACGAAGGTGTCTGATTGCAAAAAGTCATAACTTATGTATTCCTAAATAGTGTAAAAACAAGTGGTTTAAAAATGTTATTGAGTGATTGATAATTTTTTTTATTGCATAATTTTCTAATATTTAATGACAATTGTTGAATAGCATAATACCCAGTACATTTAAAATATTAAATTAAAAACGAGTTTTAACCCGACGGTGGATATTTATTTACCTTCGAACGGTCGGAGTGGTCTGGCTGGACCACACATTTTTTCGTTCTGATTTTTTCATTGATCGACAGCTAATGAAATTTTAGAAAAAGTCCAGAAATTTCAAGTCGATAGGATTCTTAAAAGTTTTTTTTTAAAAAATTGAAGTCGAAAAATGTCTGGCCAGACCACTCCGACCGACGGAGGGTTAAAGTGGCTTCTTTAAACAATTTGTGTTTTTTAATAAATATAATATAATATATCTGTTAATAAATTGTTACTAGCGCCCCCACTACGAGCACCCCCATAATCCGTCCAGAACGCATGCGCTAGGCCGAGAATTAGAGAATCAGTCTGGCGTGTCGAGTCGTGACTGTCAGTCGCGCAATTGAACCGCTGAACGAAGCAAGGTACTCCCGGTTGGAGGAAAAGGACATACTTACATCACGAAAAAATAATATTAAAAGAACGCGATTTAGATTGTAAGTGCTTAGAGATTTGTGATAGTTTTCATGTAGTGTAGTAGTTATTTTATCCTGTGTTGTAAATCTTTTGATAATTGACAATTACCTAGCCTATTAAGTGGATTATGTGCGAGTTGTGGTCTTGATGACGTACAGTGTTAAAGTGATGGAGACCGAATTTAGGAAGTTCAGGTCTCTTGTGATACTATTAGCGATAGGAGTAACGGTTGTCGGCGCGGACACGCGAGGAACAACAGGTATGTGGCGGCGCAGAGCTTGATTGCGGCGCGTTTACGATCCTACAGGTGTCTTACAAAGGCCAAGGGATTTCCAAAAATCATATGATAAATTCACTATTTAATAAAATACTTGAACTCTATACTTGAATGAGGCGAATATTATGCAATTTGTTTTTTTCATTTTTTTTGGTTTGGTTTCAATTTATTTGTAACACCTAAACGGTATTACTGATTTAAAATTTTGTGTTTTTTTTTGTTTTCTTAAGATTTTTTATTTTATTTAATATCAGAAGTATATTATAACTATTAATTTATTAAGACGACGGGCTTTCCAAAAATCTTATGATAAATTCACTCTTTAATCAAATAAACTCGATACTTGAAAGAGGGGAATATTATGCAATTTGGTTTCAATTTATTTGTAATATCGTTTACTGATTTTAAATTTTGCGTTTTTTTTATTTATTGTTTCATTTAATATCATTAAAAGTACATTATATTAATTTACTAAATAAATACCTATCTTCAATCAATTTGAAGATGACAAAACAATTATATGAACTATAATACATTGAACATAACTTTGTATTAATAACTTAACCGTAGGGGTAAGTTATAGTAATCGTCCAAAAATCGAAAATGAAAATTTTTGCTTAACTTTACTTATCAAAGGCTTCTGAAGATTTTGACATACCTTAAAAAAAATTGATGTATGTGTGTGTGTATGTATGTCTGGTGCGGATACAATTTTTCGTCGACGATTTCGGGCGCATGGATCAATCGATTCGAATGATTAACAAAAACATTCGATTCCTATTGATCGGGAGACGTGCTGGTTAATTTTTGACAACTACCGGTCCGGTATGTTTTGGGAGATACAGAGCAAAAAGTGCAAAAAATTACAAATTTTGGAAAAAAGGACCATCCGATTCAAATGATTTGCTTGTGTTGACAGTCCAATAAAACAGTGATAAATTTTTGAAAAAGGCAAGAATTTTTTTTTTATTTTAATTTTTTTTTTAATTCGAAAAATAAATTTTAAAATATCGAAAATGATTCGTATTTTAATTTTAATTCTATAGAAAATTCTGAAGCTCACCTATATACTTGAAATAAAAATTTTTGCAAAACTTTGCAATTCAGTTTATATAATTTTTAGAAATATGAGATAAGGTCTTTCATTCTAACTCCGTTTGATTATACTTTGTTTATTTACTTTTCATGTAAAAATATATAAAAACTTCCAATTTGTAATCTCTTATATATAAAATACGAATAATGAAATTTACAGTGTTCATAATAATCTATTAGAAAACTTTTAAAATTTCTCGAATGTTTTATTACGGCAAGGAAAGTTCTAGCAATTTACATTGAGGCACGACGTCATGCACCACTAGTTCTAAATCTAGATAATATTAATTATGTGGCAAATATAATATCACAAAAATCACAATCGATATATATAGATATTTGAAGACAACACAACATTAAAGAAATAAAAGTGTGAAGGAGAAAAAATCAGATAAATTAAACTTGAGATATTTTGAGTAATTTTGTATTTTTAGAAAATTGAAGACAAAAGTTTTTTTATAAATTTTGATAACGCATGGTTTGAATACCAAATTATCTCAGCAAACCAAAACTAAATCAGTTAGTTTCTCATATTTTTTTCTGATATAGGTTACCTTATTATCAGTTGAAATAAATAAATTTGAAATCCAAATTTAAATAAATATGTAATCAAAATGAATAATTTTTATGATATATTTAATAATCTAAAAATTTAAGAAGAAGCATTATTATTAAAACTATTAAATTAAATAATTTCTTTGTACTATGCTACTTATTTTAGCATAAATCAATAAGCAAATCCAATACAATTATTTTGTAATTAAATTTTAAAATGCTAAACAATTTCCAGTAAACAAATTAAATTTCATGATATTTTTATATTTTGCTGTGATTAAAATATTTGAATTGCGAATGATGCAAATGTAAATAGAGAATGAATAAAATAAATTAGTAAAAAATTGAGGAAGTTTAAAAATATTAAAATTGTCTGTATATAATTATACTTTTTAATAATGTTGGTAAATATTCATTTATTTTTTGTTACTAAAAGTATTTCTAAGATTACTATAACCATTAACAGTATCATTTCCCTTCAGTTCATATTCATATCATTAACCTCTAGTATACTTTTGCCAAGAACTAGATTTTTGTAGTTAATAATGAATTTGTTTTAACTTCTTGTTAACTAAAGTTTTTAGTTTTGTTGAAAGATAAGTTATATTTAATAAATATCAAATACTTGATAAATTACATAAGAAAGTTTTGTACCAAATCCCCATTTTTTGAAGTCCACGTTAGTTTGAAAAAAACGATTTTTATTCCTTAAGCCAGTAGTTTCCAACCTTTTAGTACCACGCCTTTAATTTATAAATACCAAATCTAATTTCATAAATACCAATTATTGATATTATAATTAACCTGATGTAAAAGTATAAATATTTAATTACTTTAATGGGGGTTATATTACCTTTTTTTCAATTTCTTTAGTTTATCAATCATGTTCAGGTATCAATTGATAGAGCTGGACATTTTAAATATGGAATCTTTATTTTTTAAATTCTATAATGTATTATTCGTGTTACCATTAAATATTAGTATATGACTAATCACTTAAATTCAATAGATTATTTTTTTTAATAATACAATATACAATGTATTTTAGCTACTATGAGTATTAATAACTGCGTTGTGTGTATTCTGACCGTTATATAGTAGTTTATATTTATTTATAATTACTACAAATGGGTGAATACCTCTACTATACTTAAAAATATATGGGCCTACTCTTTCATATAAAGTGGTACTATTAACTGTCAAGATGCCACGTGGTTGCTGTGAAGTTTTAGATAGAAAACCTAACCTAGAAAACGCACAAACGTCGATAATTGTAAAAAATTATAAAATAGTCTTATAATAAGTGCATATTTGTGATGTGGCATAATAACATATGAGTGAAGTTATATTTTATTTGCAAAACGCCTGACTGCACTGTAAATCATAGTTTTTTTGACAGTTTTTAGTACCACTTTATATGAAAAACGTTTTAATTTATAAATACCAAATCTAATTCATAAATACCAAATTATTGATATTATAATTAACCTGATGTAAAAGTATAAATATTAATTACTTTAATGGGGTATATACCTTTTTTTTCAATTTCTTTAGTTTATCAATCATGTTCAGGTATCAATTGATAGAGCTGGACATTTTAAAAATATGAATCTTTATTTTTTAAATTCTATAATGTATTATTCGTGTTACCATTAAATAGTTAGTATATGACTAATCACTTAAATTCAATAGATTATTTTTTTATAATACAATATACAATGTATTTTAGCTACTATGAGTATTAATAACTGCGTTGTGTGTATTCTGACCGTTATATAGTAGTTTATATTTATTTATAATTACTACAAATGGGTGAATACCTCTACTATACTTAAAAATATATGGGCCTACTCTTTCATATAAAGTGGTACTATTAACTGTCAAGATGCCACGTGGTTGCTGTGAAGTTTTAGATAGAAAACCTAACCTAGAAAACGCACAAACGTCGATAAATAGTCTTATAATAAGTGCATATTTGTGATGTGGCATAATAACATATGAGTGAAGTTATATTTTATTTGCAAAACGCCTGACTGCACTGTAAATCATAGTTTTTTTGACAGTTTTTAGTACCACTTTATATGAAACGTTACGTAACATAGCCTTGCCATAACATTGGTCAATAGTGTGCTTACAAGAGTTATCTTTGGATAAATCCTCTTTGTACAATTATATTTACAATTTGTGTCAAATTATTTTTTATTAACGTGTGCATTAAAATATTTGGTAAAAAGGAGTGTTGCATCAAGTTCATAGATTTTTTAGTTGATAAAAGAAGTTCGGTCAGTAGGTATATGAACATATTGTGATTCCGTTACGATTGTTGAACTTACAATGGAATGTAGGTAGCGCAGCGGTGTTTGAATTTAAAACGATACAACACTATACCTGCGTCCGATCTGGAAGAACTTTGATCGGAAATCAGAAATTGTATCCCTTTTACCTTATAAAATCAACATTTATTTAATAATCTGTGTTTTAAATTGAGACCTGAGAGGATAATTTGTTACTTAAAATATAATTGTATGATTATTTTAATGCGTTTCATTTTACGAACTTCTTTTAGAAAGGCATGATACTCAAATTATATTCCCGAACAACCTATTTATATAAATAATAAATTTAAAAAACATATAAAATTATAAATAAAAATCTTACTTGTTGGTATTCGATGCATTAGAAACTTCTGGAAGAAGTTTGTTTTCGCCAAAAATTCGATTTGCTAATTTTATATTTTCTCGACGTTTGAAGACATTCTGAAGCATATGTGTGTGCCGATTTTTTGATCTTTCGTCCACGTTTTCTCGTACATCTGGACCAATTTCAAACATTTTATTGCTATTCGATGTATCTCAATAAAGACTTGATTAGTTCATTAGTTTGATTAGTTTTGCACAATGGTCGGCCAAGCCGTTTTTTGTTATTAGTAGAAAAGTGAACAAAAAATGAAGGTAAAAAAGACATTATTAGCAAAAAAACTTTCTGCTTGTGTTGACAAAACAATTGCTTTGGGGGAAAGAATTTTTTTTTTAATTTCAAAACTTTTTTTTAATTTTGAACGTCGTCGTCCAATTCATGAGCTAATATGTTTTGTCTATAAAATAAAAATAATGGAAGTATTTATTATAAGCTATTTGGAAACATTTAATATTTTTCGAATAATTTACCTTTAGGCATGATGCCATATACCACTAGTTTTTAGTAAAGATCGGCCGGGCCGTTTCTTTGTAATTAAAAGTCGAATTTGTTTTTTGGGCGATTATGATGAATCTTTTTTTGATGATAGAGATCATGGTCATACTGAACATACTAAAATTTTATGGCTCTATGAC